CTTATCACTCCTGCCCTGTGACACGGCAGCAGGAAGCGCGGTCGTTGTTAATCCGGGCCACGGCCGATCCGGCATGAAATTTTGTGATTTTGTATTGGACATGATGTTGGATTGGGTAGCTGCTTTTTGTTTAACCGCTATCCAAACAACCTGCCTGGCATGGTAGGACCTCAAGAGACATAAGTCTCAGCCAGTATAGCTTGAGTAGATCATTGCGGTGTTCAAGCCCGACCACCACAAAATGAAATTGAAAAACTCAAACAGAAACTCAAATGTATGGTCAATGACAAAGATTATATAATTGTTGTTGAAACATCCAGAAAATCAAAAACCACACAAATAAAAAGTTCAACAAACTAATTGAAGAAAAGAACACAACAAATGAAATTGATGTCAACACTTCATCTTCTATCGACAGAACAAAGTGGGTGATCAACCTCTCATCAAGGGAACTAAGCTCTAGTGAGATAAAAGTACTTGAGAAAGGACTAAATTTCAACGTAACAGTTAATAAATTAAAACCAGAGGATGCCATTCCTAACATAGAAGTAGCACTAAGCTCAATAGATAAGACAACAGCAGAAGAGGTTCGAGCACAATGTGCATTAACCCTGAAAAATCAAAAGAAACAAAATCAAACTTAACAAAATCGGAAAGAGAAGCTTTAATTAGTCTAAGACAGGATAAAAATATTGTCATCGCAAAAGCTGACAAAGGAAACGCCACCGTAGTTTTGAATAAATCTGACTACATCAAAAAAGTTACTGAACATATTCAAACGGGTCCATATGAAGAAATCAAGAAGCCTGTAGACACAATAATGAATAAGGTTAAGAAATCTACAGCAGAACTAATACGCGGAATGAAGCCATCACTGGGTGAGTTTAAATGGTTTAATTTAATGCCCAAAACTAATAATGCTAGTAGAATATATGGTACTATATTAAAGTACATAAGCCAGGTTACCCCATACGACCAATAGTAAACTTTAGGAATACTCCTACTTATGAATTATCAAAACACTTAGCTCTAATATTATGCCCCATTAGAAATCGTTCAAACTCTAGACTATTTAATTCATATGAGATGAAAAATAAACTAAACGACATTCAACTAGAGAATGATGAAAAAATGGTTAGTTTTGATATAACTAGTCTTTATACTGTGCGTCGGTGGCACAGTGGTTAGGACTCTCGCCGACCATGCACATGGTCCGGGTTCGAGCCCACGCCGGCCACACCTGATATCTATGGTCGGCCTGCAAAATTTGGGCTACCGATATCCATGCTGAAAATTCCATGCTTGTACCAAAAAATACAGTGTGGAATCAAGCTGTAAATCAAAAATCAAAAAGTTCAAAAAAAGAACTAACTGCGGAACCTGAACTCAATCATAGGACAAAGCTGCCGATTGAACAAATTATTTTAGGGATTCAGTTATGCCTCACATCTACTATCTTCAAATTCCAAGCTAAAATCTATAGACAAACAGAAGGTGTAGCAATGGGATCACCAATACCCCCTATGGTAGCAGACATATTTATGGACAACTGGGAAAATATGGCTCTTGATACATTTAATCCTAATAGAAAAGATTTGTAACTCAGAGAACACTATCAATTACATTTAATCCTACTCCAAAAATATGGTGGAGATATTTGGATGACACTTTCACAGTGTTAATAAACAGAGCATATCTCTAGCTTCTTCGCACACATAAACTCACTAGTGGAAGGAATAAAATTCACATTTGAGCCGGAAAATGAACAAGGAGAATCAGCTATGTTAGATTGTAAAATAAAACAAATAGAAGAAGGTAAACTACACACCCATATTTAAACACCTCCGGAATAATTCCGTCGGGTCCTGCCGCTTTGCCTCGTTTCATATTACAGATAGCTTTAGTGACCTCACTCACAGACGGTGGACCAGTGTCTATATCCCATTCGGGTGTGTGGTGGATGGCGGGGAGGTTCAGTGTGGCTGTAGGCAAGTTAAACTGTTCCTCAAAGTGTTCTTTCCAGCGTTCAAGGAGTCTATCCTGAGAGCTAATTAAGGAGCCATTTTTCTCAGAAATAGTCCCACTTATGATTTGCCTTCTCTCACCCGTTTCCCTGATGAGTCTAAAGAGTTTCCTAGTGTTGCCTATCGCCGATGCTTTTTCCATCTCTTTTGCCTTTGTCACCCACCACTGTTCACGGTCTTTGCGGTGACTTTTCGTAAGTTTCCTCTTGTGCACCTTTCGCTCCTCATTGAATTTCGAGCTCGCCGGAATAAGTCTTCTAGCATCTATCAGTTCAGATGACGCAGTCGAATTCCAATGGTTATTACTCACCTTTGGATTTGCCTTATTCACACCTGATATCTATGGTCGACCTGCAAAATTTGGGCTACCGATATCCATGCTGAAAATTCCATACTTGTACCAAAAATACAGTGTGGAATCAAGCTGTAATCAAAAATATAAAAAATAAATAAGTTATCTACTGTCGTGGTAACTAGTCTTTACTTCAAGGCTAAACGAGATAAGTCGACAGAAGAACATTTCACGGAATAACTAAATGAAAGTCAATTAAATCTATATTTTCGGTAACTGAAAGCTACTTGATCTACTGTCATTTTTTAGTGTACAATATGTAAAGTCTTTAAAAGAAGGAATATTAAGTCAGCCATAGATACAGCTGTAAAAGCTGTGAATAAAGTAAATCCAAAGGTGAGTAATAACCATTGGAATTCGACTGCGTCATCTGAACTGATAGATGCTAGAAGACTTATTCCGGCGAGCTCCGAATTCAATGAGGAGCGAAAGCTGCACAAGAGGAAACTTACGAAAAGTCACCGCAAAGACCGTGAACAGTGGTGGGTGACAAAGGCAAAAGAGATGGAAAAAGCATCGGCGATAGGCAACACTAGGAAACTCTTTAGACTCATCAGGGAAACGGGTGGGAGAAGGCAAATCATAAGTGGGACTATTTCTGAGAAAAATGGCTCCTTAATTAGCTCTCAGGATAGACGCCTTGAACGCTGGAAAGAACACTTTGAGGAACAGTTTAACTTGCCTACAGCCACACTGAACCTCCCCGACATCCACCACACACCCGAATGGGATATAGACACTGGTCCGCCGTCTGTAAGTGAGGTCACTAAAGCTATCAGTAATTTGAAACGAGGCAAAGCGGCAGGACCCGACGGAATTATTCCGGAGGTGTTTAAATATGGGGGTGACATACTAGTTTGTAGATTAACTGAGGTACTAGGCAAAGTCTGGGAATCAGAGACAGTGCCATCAGACTGGGGTAAGTCACTTATTATACCGATATTCAAGAAGGGAAACAAGTCCTCGTGTGATAATCATAGGGGGATCAGCCTAACGAACATAGTCTCTAAAATCCTAGGCTCAGTAATCATGCATAGACTAAGCAGAACTCGGGAGGAACAGACAAGGGAAAATCAAGCAGGCTTTAGACCAGGTAGAGGGTGCATAGATCATATCTTCACTCTCCGACAGATTCTAGAACATAGACACACTTTTCGGCGTCCAGCAACTGCCATATTTCTTGACTTGAAGGCGGCCTTCGACTCCGTGGATCGAAAGGTACTATGGCAATGTCTGACTGTGAAGGGAGTGCCAAGAAAGTACATTGCACTAATCAAGGCACTCTATTCAAACTCACGTAGTCGTGTAAGGGCTTATGGGGAATTGTCATCTGAATTGATAACAACCAGTGGTGTCCGGCAGGGATGTCCACTTTCCCCATTTCTGTTTAACTTCATCATAGATATGCTTATGGAAGTATCCTTAACTGAACGTAGCGACTTAGGAATCGACTTGTTACCAGGGAATAGTCTTATGGACTTAGAATATGCAGATGACATAGTCTTGTTAGGGGAGGGTGTTGACAAAATGCAGAGTCTTCTGAACACCTTGAACAGCAATCTTCGTACGTTTGGCATGCGATTCACCCCTGTAAAATGTGAGATGCTGCTACAGGATTGGACTACGTCAACTCCTAGCTTAGTGATAGGGAGTGAAGTGATAGAACATGTTGACCACTTCACCTATTTGGGAAGTTGTATTAGCACCAACGGACTGATTGGCGATGAAATCTCAGCACGGATCCGAAAAGCTCGAGCTGCTTTCGCTGACTTACACCATCTCTGGCGTAGGCGTGACATCCGGTTATCAACCAAGGGACGTGTGTACTGCTCAGCAGTTCGCTCCGTCCTTGTCTATGGCTCTGAAACATGGCCAATACGAGTTGAAGACATGAAAAGTTTGACTGCTTTCGATCATAGATGTCTGCGATCTCTTTCTCACGTTAGGTGGTTTCACAAGATAAGTAATGTTGACGTTAGGCGTAGAGTGTTGGGCAAAGAGGGAAAATCAATCGACGAGGCTATAAAGTTACATAGACTAAGATGGCTAGGTCACGTGGTGTGCATGCCTAACCACCGCCTCCCCCGACGGGCATTGCTAGCTGATATAGGTTCAGGTTGGAAAAGAGCCAGTGGTGGCCAAACAAAAACATGGCATCAATCCATGAAATCCTTGACAGTTAAACTGAGTCAGGTAGGGAGATGCAGACTCCCGGGTTGGGGCCCTCGGGACTCTAGGAATCAATGGCTGGAGACAATAGGTGACATGGCTCAAAATCGTTGTCAATGGCGCAGATGTATTCAGTCTCTGTAATCTTTCATATTCCTTTCTACCATTACCCATTCTGTTTCACTCTTATACTTGTCAAACTCTATTGATTCTCTTCACTCATCTTCTTGTCTACCTCTGTGTGCTATTTGGAACGTGGCAACTCGAACTGCTGCACTTCGGTGCCAAGTTCTATGTTGAATCCAGACAGACAGAGACTAGGTACTGTCAATGAGTGATAAATACATTGATAAATAACAGTAAAAAAAACCATCATAAAATCAATCCCAAAAATATTATAAAGTGTTAGAATACTCCGTCGACTAAACGATATTTCAGGAAGCAGTACAGCTTACACTTGCATTCGAAACCTGGTGGGACACGATTCGAAAACTTGGCATGACGTGCTTCTCCGTGTGCTCCATAATTTTCTAACACCTGAGCTGGGGAAACAAAAGAGAATTAGATGATAAGTTTCTTGTAAGAAATGCGAAATATAGGTCTCGAGACTTAACGATCGTTAAGCTGGATAACCTTCCATTAAATAAATCAAGCGTTTTCGTAACACGTGGAATCAAATAAACATGTTTTACTAATATCATGTACTAAATACAAAAAAGAGTAAAATATTCAGGTCGATGGAACCGTAACTGAAAACGAAAAAGAACTCGCAATTGTGAGTGTACACCGCAAATCGTCAAATACCTAGACTGATTGTCGTCAAAGTTAAGCTTTCGACGCCACTAACAACCAATCAGTAAACGATCTAGAACGGAACGATCACATTAATGAGGCATTTATGATAAATGGAAACGTATATTTATAGAAAATAGCATGTAAAACAGCATTAAACGGTTATAGGGGTTATCTTCCCCTGACATGTGAGAGTAATATCGCCCAGTCAAGCATAGGACTGTCAATAGAAAAGTCACACTACATTCTGTACATATATTCGTCTAAATGACTAAAAATAAGATCCTTTTGAGATCCGTTTATAGCCCTTGTACAATTTTTCAACCTACCCAAAAATCCTTCAATAAAATTCGTATGTGTCCTTGTAACGCGATTCACAAAATCACTTGAATTGTTGACTCTATGATGAATATATCCAAGAGATGACAAGGAATTGTAAGCTTTCCATTCGTCCAGGTGCATTATTGATCCCCGTTTTATAAGTCTGGAAATAGATTTTAGATCTAAGATTTATTGGTCGAGGATAGAAGGCTTGGAGCATATGCTAATCATTTTCTAGTAGATTTCTGTGGTTGTCCAAACCCTTCTTGAACGAATCAGTTGAGGTTGCAGACACCACTTCTTCTGGGAGTCGGTTCCAAGAGTTTATGACTCGATTTGAAAACCAGTACTCAGCAGCAATATGATTTCTCCTTGGCTTTTGAACTTTCCTGCTATGTCCTCTAAGGTGTTCCGACCTGGTGGGAAGGAAAAGAGAGAATAGGTCAGGTCCGTAGTCATTATTTAAAATTTTAAACATTGTGATTAAATCTCCTCTCTGCCTACGGTATGACAGTGAGAAGAGATTTAAACTGTCTAGTCTTTCCTCGTATGATAATTTAGCTATGCCGTGAACCATACGTGTTGCCTTCCTTTCAACACTTTCTAGAATGTGTGAATCCCCTTTTAGACAAGGACTGGCGGCCTGGATGCAGTTTTCCAGTCTTGACCTAAGCAGAGATGTATATAAGGAGGTGAGCATATCTCCGGTGATTCTAGTGAAGGCTCTGCGAATCGCCCATAAGGACCTGAAACTACGTGCAGCCACCGCGCGACAGTGTGCTGTAGTTTTGAAGTCGTGGCTAACTATGACACCTAAGTCCAAGTGAGTCTGAACTGATGGAAGTGTTTGTAAGTGTTGAGGCTAGACTTAAAATAGTCCTCCATATCACTAAAAACTTCACCGTCTTATGACTTTACCAGTACTCTACCTAACGTGTAAGTACTGATTAACTCAATCAGAGTTTAAAAGCTAACAATGTAAAGAATTCTTAGTATGAGTAACGTAACTGAATAACAGATTTAATAAATAAAGTGACTGTACAACTTAGCTGCAGACGTTGCTGGAGGTAGGCTCGGAGAGTGTGCAGAAAAAGAGCACAACAAGAGAGCAAAACAATGTACGTACGGAAGACTCACAACTCAAAAGATAACAAGTGTATCACGTGGGTGAGCGAGTTTAAACAAAAGTTCAAAGGTACAATGTGCACTACATGTTATTCCCTCTAATTCGTAGGGGCTTGTGCTTGATTGCCCAATGCACATGGTTGCACATTTCACCACATTGATCGGAAGCATCCATTCAACAGACCACTCCGACAATTTGTTGAGGTCCTCTTGCAACGTGAACGTATCACTGTTGCCCTTCAGCTCTCTCCAAATTTTTAAGTCATCCGCGTATAGGACCATAGGGGAGTCGGTGAGCAGAGGTAACTCATTGATATACAGAATAAAAAGGAGAGGACCGAGAACCGTGCCTTGTGGCACTCCGCTACTTATTGCTGTCCAGGAGGAGAGTTTTGAGTTGATCCTAACCCTCTGCCTCCCATCTATGAGGAATTCCCTGAGCCAGTCTAGTAGTCTGCCTTTGATACCAAGACTTTCCGATTTCATGAGTAGTCTTTTGTGAGGTACTTTATCAAAGGCTTTACTGAAGTCTGTCAAGACGATGTCAACGGGTCTTCTGTTGTCCTTTGATTTGACCCAGCTTTCTCTTGCAGTCAGGAGATTTGACAGGCATGAGAGATTCCTCCGGAAGCCATGCTGTGCTCCAGATAACAAGCTGCCATTTTCCAGATAAGTCATGATGCTTTTCTTGATAATTCTTTCCAGTGTCTTGATTAAAGTGCTGGTGAGACTGGTAGGCCTGTAATTTGAAGGGCTTTGTCTTGATCCTCCTTTGTGGATGGGGGTTACTATGGCGTCTTTCCAATCACGTGGCAACACTCCATTTAGGAGAGATAGCTTGAAGATCGTGGTCAAGGGGCCGGCTATGTGGGCTGATAGCTCCTTGAGAAGCCTTGGATGAAGATTGTCAGGACCCATTGATTTCCCTGCATCTAGTTTCATTAAGCAGTTGAGCACGATGCCTTGGTCGATGTCAACGGAATCTATCCCATGTTCTTCTGATGCAGCCAGAGCTGATCCTATAGGCAGTGATGACTCCTGAGTGAAGACTTGGGAGAAGTAGTTTGCCATTGCTTCTGCTTTTTCTTGATCTTCTTCGATTGTATCTTTGTCAATAATCAGGTTTGGGACACCATTGGATGTTTTATTCCTGAAATTTAAGTACGAGAAAATTTTCTTAGGTTGTGCCTTTGCATATTGAGCCAGGTGTGTCTCGAACTTCATCCTTGATTGGCGGATTTCTGCGATAGCTTTATTTCTAGCAGTATTATATAATTCCCTGGTCTCAGAAGTCTCAAGTGTGGCAAGCAGGTTCCAGCATTTGCGTTTACGTCTGAGTAACTTACGAATCTCCCGTTTTATCCAAGGGGGGGATGTTTCCGACCCTTTGGAACAGACCAAGGGATGAAAGGTACAGTTACTTGGGCGTAAAGTTGCTTAAATTGGTTCCATGCGGCTTCTACTTGGGACTCTGGGTTGATGTACCAGTTTACTGAGTTGGCTGCTGAGACGATCGCATTTATATCAGCTTTCCAAACGTTTGGTCGAGCTGGGGTTTTGGCCCTTGCTGTCGTTGCTGTGAACTTCAAAGTGAGTCACTTCTTCCTGAAGGAGGAATATGTTGTATGATATCCACATCCTCACCGTGGGAGAACACTAGGTCCAGAGTTGACGAGGAGTGCTGTGAGTCATAGCGCGTGGGCTTAATGATATGTTGGACTAGAACTAGCGATATACTAGATTCTAGCAGTTTATGATCAAAGAAGTTGACTGAAGATGGAGTTGTTAGGCTCGACCAGTCAACTGTTGGGGCGTTGAAGTCGCCGACTACGAGACTTCGACATTTCGAAGTCCATGAGCCTAGCTTCTCTATTAGGAAGTCGTCTGCACTGCAGTCAGGACTGCGGTACACAGCAATGAGGTCAATGTCTTGGCTTATGCATTTAAGTCTGCAGCGTAGAAGTTCACACGACTCACTTTCGTGGGCCTGTGAAAAACTCTATAAACAACTTAAACAATTGGGTTACATACTCCTCAGCTTTGTGGTCTTCCGAAGATCCACAAAACTGGGAGCCTACTGAGACCCATCTCAGACATGTCAAATTCTCCTTATCATAAAATTGCCAAGTGGATTACAGAGGTCCTTACGCCTGTAAGAGACTCATTATCAAATCATTCTGTAAAAAGTTCATTTGATCTTACAGAAATGCTGGACACGTTGAACATTAAGGAAAAGTTTATGTGTTCAATTGACACAGAATCTTTATTCACTAATGTTCCCCTTCATGAAACTGTTGATTTTATTTGCGATTACATCACAAGCAACGGCATAAACTTACCCATTCCCGTCACTTACATCAAAGGCATCATCTTAATGTGTACAAAAAGTATTAGATTCACATTCCAAGAAAAGGCATATAAACAAATCGATGGTGTTGCGATGGGGAGCCCTCTGGGGCCCGTGTTAGCATATATATTTATGTCGAAATTAGAGAAACAAATGCAAGGTATGCTTGAAGGATTTATGCTGTATAAACGTTATGTAGATGATACTCTTATTATTGGTAATAATAGTAAATCTATTGAAAACTTCGTTACTCTATTTAATCATATTCATCCAATTATTCGAGTGACTTCCAAACTAGAATCGAATAAAAAACTCGGTTTCCTGGATATTACTATGATTAGGAGAAATGATGGAACGATTCAGCGCCCTATTTTTCGTAAACAAACATGGACTGGACAATATCTTCATTTTACCAGTTTTGTTCCCATCCAGTATAAACGTTCCCTAGTGAAATGTTTGTTCTCAAGGGCCCGAAAAATATGCACGAGTGACACACTGATGGATGAGCTTCGACATGTACATTCAGTTTTATTAGCTAATGGTTATCCGGAGAGCTTTATCACTTGTCACAGCAAAGAAAGACCACATCTCGAAAAGACAGCTTCTGTACCAAAAAAAACCATCTCTATTAATCTACCATTCAAGGGCGACCAGATTACGCAGTTGACAGCTAGCTCAAAGACTTCGATCAGCCATCAAACGCACATTCTACGCCGCATCTCTTATTCTCACTTGCCGAAAATTTTCGATCCCTCTTCCTACGATTAAAGGACAAAATTCTGTGGACTCTACTTAAAACCGTATCTACAAGTTCACCTGCAGCTGCGGTGACACCTATATAGGTAGAACTAACAGAATGTTCCAATGTCGTCGAAAAGAACATATTCCAAAATGGCTATTAAATCATATCGAAAATCCTAACGCGATTAACCTTAATAGAAATCCAACATCATCCATTACAAAACACTTATTAATGTCTGGTCACAAAATCAATATTAATGACTGTTTCACAATTATCTCACATAACTCTAATTCAAGGCTATTGAAGGTGATGGAAGCACTTTGGATTAATCACATACAGCCTAAACTGTGTGTACAAAACTCAATAGACTTCAATCTTCGCCTACCCTGGACTGCATGACCTATCTTAATATGATTGGTCATCAGTATGTACTTTTGTTTTTATTTAACTGAGTAATTTTCATGAACTTTATTTTATCATTGTTAAACATGCTAATTGCAAAGCGGTTGTAAAGAAACTACGGAATGATATAATCTCGCGAAATTTGTCTTCTTAATGCCTTGTACAAAAGTATATATTTATGAGTGGTGCGATACGTAAGCGAGCTGAGCATAACAGACCACACTTCTGCACGTTGATCTGAATCATCCACGACCTACACCAAGTCTCAATATTATCAATATCCGATTGGATTTTATGAGAAAGATTTGTCACTTCTTAGGCAGGAAAAACAGTGGCTCACTACGGACAATTGGAAACTAATAGAAGAGAGAAGGACAGTGGAACAAAAGATTATCCAGTGCACCAACGAGCAACAAAAACAGGAGTTGAGTCCAAGCTACAATACACCAGACAAAAGAGTGAAGAAGAGTACCAGGGAAGACAAAAGAAAATATTATGAAGCCATAGGAAGTGAAGCAGAACAAGCTGCAGGCAAAGGAGACCTCGCCACACTCTACCAAACAACCAGGCACCCATCGGGCAAACGTTCGTCACAGATTAAGCCAGTAAAGGACGACAATAAAAAGTCAATCACCAAAGAAGCAGAACAAAGAAAACACTGGGCTGAACACTTCAAAAGACTTCTAAATCGACCGCCACCTGCAACGCGCCCAACAATACTAAGCCGCATCATCCTGGAGAGAATCAAACAATCCAAGTTGGATGAAAAACTTCGACCGGAACAAGCTGCATTCAGGAGAAGCAAGTCATGTATTGATCGAATCGCCAATGCTGTACTTACCATCTACTGTGGAGTTTTATAAATTTTCGAACCCTTATTGATTGATAAAATGATAATGATCACAAGGTCTGCATCCTGTGTGTCTTGCTCCAGTACCTGCATGTTGCCTCTCTTCTTACCTTCCATTAACGAGATATTTCGTAATTCCCACATGAATTTGACTCACTCTAAGTATATTAAAGACTATAATTTAGACTTAAACCTAAATCTTGTAATCTATTCTTATAAAGTTTTTGGAGGTTTTTCTCCATTTTTTCAATTTTTGATGTCAGGGTTCCATTTGAAATTGCATTTGTCAAATATGATCATGCCTGTACAAATGGTATGTCAATCATGTAAATGCTTAATTTATGTGAAATATATATGATTTTATTATTATTAACATTTTTAGGAAGGATTAGGGAAGTGAGTCACCTACAGGAGTATTTGAGAATTTCAATGAACGCACTGCACTTTCTATAACATCAACATTCAAGCATATGTTTGACAGTGTTTTGCCTGTTAGCGAGTCAAATTCAATGCATGCAGAAATATCATGTGAAAAGTGCTTGCTAAAGAGTTCAGCTATGCCTGCATCATCCTTAACAGTGACATTATTATGAAGAATGTAAGGAATTTCGCATCGTTTTTGTTTCAGTTTCCATACATGATGATACATCTTTCGGTTTAGCCCGAAAGTTGCAAGGTGAACGACATCGGCGTGCATTGCTTCCGTAACTACGGTGGTACCAGCAAATAGTATCGTGATGTCGTGACGTGCTGAGTGACCGAGAAAGACGTCGACGAGACGAGCTTCTAGAACGGCTTGGTCGTGTGTGTGTGGTCAGTGCTGCCAACTGACTCAGTAAGGTGTCGACTTTGTGTTTTAGAGTCTGTATCCTGTCGTGAGTGTCTGGTATTCTGCTAGTGGAAGCAACAGATTGAGGTGTTGACCTCTCGTACATGCGATCTGCAATTTTGGCGAGCTTTTCTATGTCACTGTCGTCGTCTCCGAAAGCAAGAACTTGCTGAATGTTCGCAGGAAGTCGTCGCAACCAAATTTGGTAAAAGAGACGTTTATCGATCTCTCTTCCGGCTACTAGGCTTCGCACGTGCCTCATGAGTTGTGATGGGGTTTTATCACCTAGCTCTACATTGCTCAACAAACGATCGAGTGTTTGACTATCAGAAATCGAAGTGCATCGAAGTACCTCTTCCTTCAACTTGTCGTAAGGAGTGTCTATGCTGGGTTGAACTATGTGTTGTCGAACCTGTTCGGCGATTTCGTCTGGTGGTACTGTGCTCAGAATGCCGAATTTAGCCGTCTGTGATGTAAGCTTACTGGCAGTGAAATAATGTTCCAGTCGTGCAGATCAAAGATGGGGGTCTCTGGGCCTAAAAACTGGTACAGTAAGAGAAATGGTACTAACAGATCCCAGATCTAAGTTATTAGAGGTATTGGAAGACATGATACAATTCGTAGAAAAATGGTTTAACAGTAACAAAATAGTAAGAATAATGCACGCTAAGAATATGGCAAAACAGAAAACATGCAATGCAGATGCTTACCACAGATTACTGCAAGTTGTGCGATGAGAAAGCACAAGAATGAGCTCGAAATGTCTATTATATGTACATATATCCGATAAAGTTAGAGTTTAAATAATCCAGCAAGTGTAATGATGCGTCCGGGTGAACAAAATGTCGTTGCAGTCAACAAGTTATCGTCGCAGTGAACAAGTTATCGTCGAGGTGAAAAAGTTGTCGTCGCGATGGACAATTTGTCGTCGGGGTAGAAATTTGTCATTGGGGTCAACAATTTGTCGCCGGGGTGAACCAGTTATCGTCAAGGAAACCAATTTCTCGTCGCTGTCGAAATTTGCCATCGGGCTCACCAATTTGTTGCGTGCGTTGTCTGACTAAACTGCCGTGCACATATATTCTAGTATTTCTTCGTTCTTATTCATGTGCACAGACGTTGTGACTACTCGACGCCCTTAACGTAAGTCAAAAGGCACTTGCGAAGAGTACGATCGTGTATTGTAGCAGTAGTCAAATTCGAAATTGTGTCAAGGTAATGTTCAACAGTAAATTGACAAATGTTTGCGAAGTACATATAAAATCGGTCTCTATACACATATAATACAAGTATACAAATTAGATTAAAAAGCATGTTTACAGTTGGTATAGGGGTACTACATAATTCCCCCACCAGAACACCGAAACATAAAAAAATACATTTAAGTGTTCGAAAATAACGTGTGTCAACGTAATACGTAGCAGCGATAGTATACAGAAGACGATTTATTGAGCTGGAAAATGAGCAGTTTAAAGCGGTTAATAAAATCGACAATAAATGCGATAATCTAGGGAAAGTAGGAGTGCTAATCATAATAGAATATATAAGGAACGATAAAATTGGCCGAGGATCTGTAGTCTGTAGACGAGAACGATAAGTGAATGATAAGCGAGATATGATTAAATGCAATAATATAGGAAATATCGATGTTAAAATAATAGTGACGTGATTTATGTATGAAAATATTAATCAGTTAGATGAGTAGTCAAATGACAGTTGCGAATAAAGATAATAAAAATGAAAATTCGTAGTAAGCTATATTTCGATGACTTACACGTAACATTTAAACAAATGTACATGTTTACAGTTGGTATAGGGGTAATACAATATGACTGCGACACACTTTTAGCATATTGATTGCAATGATTAGTGTTTCAGGCGGAATGTATCAAAATATCGGTGTAATCAGGAAGATAGGATAGTTAGAGGGTAATGCCATTTACACAAATCGTTTACTCCATGTAGAAGCTGCACCTTTCGGCATAGTATCATTCAATGAAGACTTCATGTCTCAGGATATCAATGCAGCCTATTTTCGTGTGAAGGACAGTGTTTTTTAACAAAATAATTCTCTCGGTACTTGGAAATCACCTGCAAATGCCATCAGAATCGTTTGTGGGAACCTAAGATGATGTGCTTTTCACTCTATCTGTGGTTGGACAGGAATTAAGGTAAGTTGAAAGGTTATCTCTAAGTGGATTTCTTATATATATATATATATATATATATATATATATTGGCACTGATTGGTGCAGTGTGCTATGGGTTATGTGAATTAAATGTACAAAAATATCTCAACTTTAATAATATTGTGCCATTGTCTACTTAACTGACTGATAGGATAACAAACGAAGGTAGTTAACCACCTTCCTAATCGTGACAATTGTCACGATTATTGCAAGTACAGTGCAGTGGAGAAGGCAATTACTCGTTTAAATTTCGGCGGTGTTTCAACTAATGCACTAAATCATTACACGGTATGATTATACGCATGAATCGCGGTGATTATGATAACTGAATCTATTCAGCTTTATTATCATTAATATGAATTTATGCTCTTTTACAATTTCGACTGATTGTATACTTAATGCTGCAATATTTTTGATCACCAATAGTGGAGATGAATCTCTCCTGAGATTTCCATTTAAACAAAGCAGTACAGATGTGGCATCACGATTGAATCTCTAGTTTGCATTATATGACATTATTATCCTAATCAACGCAACAGGTCTGTGTATTTTACAATAGTTTAAGTGTTTCGAAACACTTAAACTATTGTAAAATACACACAGATCTGTATGTTGTTAACACTGTGCATAGCTGTTTAGAGTTGAGGCATGTTCAGCCTATATTTGATAGCTACAGTCTCCTAAATGTGAGAATGTGATTACTGTAGGATTCACAAAACCTTGTGGACTAGACTAGATTGTGGATTAATTTCTAAGTTACACATTTGTAATACTTCATTTCATGTAAAAGTATTTAGTGTGAAGTTGGTCTGCAAGTAAGCTTGATGAGAGAATGATGCCTCAATAGTATGGATGTTTTAGAGATTGTCTTGAAATTTGTGTATAATCCTCCAATACTGAAAAAAAATATGTCTATTTATGTATACGACGTCAACATAGAAATCAGCTGTAGACTACAAATACATTTATCTCCATGAGATATTACTTAGTTTTAACATAATAATTGTATTCATAGTATATGCTAATATGTAGAATTATCTCTTGTAACTTCATGTTGTGCTAGATCTTACATGTACTTTATGTTTTCCAGGTATACAGAGGTTGTCGAATATGAAATCAGCGGAAACATCGTTCGGTCAAACTGAAGTTAACACTCTTCATCAGAACTTTCTTTTGTAAATTAATCAAATGTTTAATATACTCTTGATTTGTAATTCCTCTGGACTTTTTCAATTGGTTGCTATACTATGTGCTTTTGTAATAAGTGAATTAGGAATAATATACGCTAAGCTTAGTTAGTGGGATGGAGATTTACTGTAGTATTATGAGACTGCTACTTTAGTCATTAATGGGATTTCGTGTCTGCTTCTACACAATAGCACATTGTAAAAGCTAAGTGGGATTTAGCAAGTTGAATAATAATTCTGTACTGTTCAATGCGCTAAAGTCTCCTTATCTAGCCAGTTGCAAGTGCGTATACTGTTAAACGCCAAGTATGTGGTACAAGTAAATGCGGTAACTTAGGCTTGATGGCTACTTCACTAATCTGTTAATATGCAGTGACATCATCAAATGGACTGTTCACTTGACAATGAGCTAAGAAACAACTTTTATTTATTTCTAATATGCCGTTGAATCATAGGATGTTATCTAATATCCATCATTTCTATGATCAACAACTGCGGTATTTGCATATCTACTTTATGGATATTAAATAACTTACGCCTTCATGCATCTAATTACCTCCAGTATTCCCTATTCATTTGGTGTGTGTACACTAAAGAAGTCTTTCATAAATTCTCCCACAAATCCTAAGGTTTCTGGTGTCACAAGTGTTAATAATAGTTGCTTCCTTGGTTTCAATGCAAAAGACGTATATACGAACTAAGGAAAAGCTACTCTTACTTAATCTTTAACCTTCACTTAAAGCCTTTAACGATCCCAAACAATTCTCCTATAAACACAGTAGACGTAGTTTAGATGCAGCTGCAGTCTTGCATCACAATGTTTTCTCCATTACAGACAATGGGGCTAAATTCACTGCATCTTCCTAGATTTCACATCTGCTTTCGACCCAGTACCTAGAGATATTCTGTTAAATAAGCTTGTTGAAACTCAAACTGAGTGTTGGATCGGTAGACGACTTCCTTCTTATTCATCGGGAAGAAAGCAGTACACTGTAGGTCATGGGGAAATCGTCTATTACCAATTGCATTTTTGTTTGACGAACTTAATGCACGAAAGCATACGAAAAGTATTTCTTCAAGCACGCAGACGATCTAACTATTTTAATGTCTGCTAACGTTTCATATACTTTAGGCACAATTAATCTACGGTGCTTAATTTTACGACGCGTTACCCACAGCGACTTCGCTACTTGAAATTAATTTCCGCCTAAGACAATCTCCTACACCTGCAACCTTAGTGAGCTACTTAACACTATCTTTGAATTATAAAGTTTTTGAGAGAACTCAGATGATTTCCTTTATAAAAAGATGTATATCCTATCTCCACAAAAGATTCACTATTCTTAAACATTCGCAAACCATCTTCACAAGCATTACCCATATTGCGGATTAATTTCCTCCTACCCTGCTTATCTGGCTGCGTACTTTAAAGTGAAAGTGACTAAGTCAATGAAATCAATGTTTTGTTGGCCCTAAAGAGGGCCATTCCACGTTCTCAGTGAGGTTTCACACATCCTCCTTTCCTTCCATTAACCGGGTATACGAAGACAATAAAAAGGCAAATGCTTTTTCTACATGACCTGCATTTACGCGCACGTCAAGATATTTACAAAACTTATACTTCAACTTTTGGTATTTTCAACGTAACTGTTTTGTGTCACCACCGGTGCAGCACTTAATACGGGTTGTGGATTTCTGGTAGCAAACATCCACCTCAGGGAATTTGTGGTGAATTTTGATTTGTCTACTGGAACTAAAACAAGCTATTTTCATTCTTCCATCGGTTTCATCCCGAATTACAACCAACTTCCTAACTTGACGCAATCTCGAAAAAATAACTGACTGTAAATCACAATCTGAAAAGTTATTGCTGTCAATCAGTCTTACCTTCAACTGCAGCAGCTCTTATATTTGGTAGATCATTGTACGTCATCCTTTTTTTAAATTGTTCTGCAACGTAATCAATAGTTTTTTCAGGTTCGGATGAAATAGACAGCATTGGTTTAATTATAGAGACTTCAGACTCATCTAATTTGCGTGCTCTGTCATCCTTCATTAAATATTCATGCGTGCAACAGTGATTATGAATCATATACACAGATGATACAATCAATTTATTGCAATGATATCGGATGTGTATCACTGATGGGCAACCAATGTATTTAGATCTACTCCATAAGACATTAATAACCACAGATAACTTACCCTTTAAGGCGAATGTGATTGCTTTGAGACTTCCTTTTGTATCCAAAAGTACATACTAACAGCCCATATGCATACTGCACATGTGGTTCATCCTTGTTTAATTTAGATTCTCTGACAATATATCGGGTGTTTGTTAACTGATAATAGACACACTAATACTATGCTCACCTTCTGAAAAAGCTTCAAAGCTTTTTCAACTTCAACCCAGGTTCTAAATTCTCCAGCTTTAATTTCTTTTTCTAAAAACTGGCTAACACACACTCTGATGGTGTTCTCCTTAACAGATTCACTCGCAGATTGTTGCATGCTGCAAACATGAACGAGAAAGACAATTTTTTCACGAAATCTAAATATTAAGTAATTAACTGAGCCAACAAGAATAACTTCAACCAACAAACAAACTGGAAACAACTGCTTCTGCCAGGGAAACATCTTCATGTGCATAAGTAGTGTATAACGGCAGGATAAATGGAACAACAAACGCGTACACGAACAGCTACGGAACTGCAATCCAACATGGCCGACTAACATGGACGAAAATGACCTTTGAGCGTCTCACTCCACCAATGACCTTGATAAGTTACGGATAATTTCAGTCCTAAAATTATGTGTCTGCTATCATTTAGAAAGACATATATTATGAGAGAATCTAAGTCAAACGAGGCTGAGCCACATGAAACGTATGAATCTGTTGTGCTTGTGTGTATTTTGGGGGACTGAAAGATACTAAACCCTTAAGGGTAAGTGGTAATTATGCTTATTATTGCTTAATGTACTAGATCCAAATACATGAACTAGGACTGCCCGTAATAGAGCCAGTGTTAACATCCATTCGATGTGTTGCAAAGCGGATAAAATAAGATGACCTGGTGAGTGTACGAACTATACAAGTTAAAGGTAAGACATTAATTAAGGAGAATAACGTTTCGGGTTGTAATTTACGATCGGTGGTTTTGTAGGGGACTAATGTTAGAGTTCACTAATATTACGAATATGAGAAATATAATCCAAGTCAATGGAATGTTAAATAACAATATATTACCAAAAATATTACCAAAAAATACAGTGACGAGTTATATCAACAAAAAGGATTACTTGGAGATAAAGTTTAAGTCCTCTGCTACAAATTAATTATATAATCCACGGGCACGTTAATTGTTTGGACTGCGTCTGCTGTAGCTGCTGTGTTCCGGTTGTAGAAATGTCTTCGGTTGAGAGTAGTAGGCTCCTACAATAAATCCGAAGTATACAACACGGTGTGAGTGGAGCAAGTAAGCAGAAGTGACCAGGGAGAAGACGAAGTCTCCAACAGCAGAGTGTATTTTTCAATTGTACACGGAAGTTATGTATATTTCAACAAGAAGCGTTTTAAACAAAAATTATGTACAATATCTCGAATTTATACAAGTAACCAAAAAGTGTACAATCACATTGTTACGTACTCAACACGGCTCCCCCCTAGAGGTCCGGAGAGACAACCGGAAAATGATAAGTAAAACTATGAAGTAAATAATAATAGTAATAGCAACTTTTGGATAAAAATAGGGATATATTACAACATGCATAAACGCGAGAAGGTATGTGAATCATGTAAAGTCTGAAAGCATATACAATGAGTTCAGCAATAAAAATTGAAATAGAAAGTCATGTCACTTAAATTTGCACTAACCATGAACATAGATTTTTAATGTATAAAGAAAAATATGTAAATACACAGTAATTAAGGAGGGGAAAGAAACATTAAAAAAATATGGATTAAAGATCAATAGTTTTTGGAAAGGACACTACCTGTTTTTTAGGTGAGGTACATATAAATAAATAATAGTGATAGTAACATCAAAGTTTACGACGAAATACTAACGGTCATGATGATAATGTCTAAACGAAAAAGATAATAATAATTTTTAATTATTTTTCTTTTGTTAGTCCTCAAAATGAACGTAGCGAGCCGGTTTACTGATTTGCCGACCACTACGTGTTTGATATGGAGGGAGGATAAGACTTGGTGCCGGTGGAGTGGAATCGGATGTTTGATTATTTGATTGCGCAGCTGCCGATGTAGATTCGAAGTCGTTGTCGGTGTATGCGGGTTTGATTCGATCAATTGAAACAGTCTCTCGTCTTCCATTCTTGTTCACTGTAAAGTGTTTGTCTGAACGTTTAATAACTTGAAAGGGTCCTTCGTATGGAGGTTGCAATCCTTTTCTGATGGCGTCGACTCGAATGAAGACGAATTTGCAAGTTTGTAGATGTTTGTTGATCTGATCTCTTCGGGGAGATTGTCGAGGTGCTGTTGGTTGAAGTTGAAGCATTTGTCTAGTTAATCGGTTAGTGAAGTCGGCAATGTTCACGTCTGTGGAATCGGCTGAGGGGACTAGCTGTCCAGGCAAGGTTAGGTTGGTGCCATAGACAAGTTGAGCCGGTGTACATCCTAAATCTTCTTTGATAGTAGAACGGATACCAAGTAAAATCAAAGGTAAGTATTCACTCCACTTAGATGTATCATTCTGCGCCATCAGGGAGCTTTTCAGTTGTCTGTGGAATCTTTCCACTAGACCATTCGCTGCCGGATGATAGGCTGTTGTGGAGATATGTTTCACTCCCAGAAGTCTCGTCAGTTCGCGAAAGAGTGTCGATTGGAATTGAGGACCGCGGTCGGATGTAATAGTAGTTGGTACACCGTAGTTTGACACCCAACGGTCGAGAAAAACTAAAGCAACGTTTTCAGCAGATATGTCGTTTAAGGGGCATGCAATAGCCCAACGAGTAAATCTATCAATCGCTGTCAGGATATGTGTATATCCCCTTGATGTTGGCAATGGTCCCACGATATCTATATGGATATGCTGAAATCTCCTTTCGGGTAATTCAAACGTCTTCGGGGTTGTAATAGTGTGGCGGTGTACTTTGGAGCATTGGCATTGGATACATTCTCGTGCCCATCTCCGAATGTCAGAGTTCATTTTAGGCCACACGAAGCGTTCGCTGATCAGTCTGACCGTGGCGCGTACTCCAGGGTGAGAAAGCGAATGTAAATGTTCGAACAATGCTTTTCGGCAACTGAGAGGGACAAATGGACGATTAGTGCCGGTAGATACATCGCAGACTATGGTTGCATCTGATAAGGGGATAGGCACATCTTTGAGCTGTAAGGAAGAGTTTCTGCGGCAGGTTTGGAGTTCAACGTCATCTCTTTGTAATTGAGCCATACGATCAAGACTGATGTCTACCGACGTTTGGAGCTGGTTAATGTCACTTCTTGAAAGAGAATCGGCTACCACGTTCGCATCCCCTTTGATGTACTGAATGTCGGTTGAAAATTGGGAGATATAATCCAACTGTCTGGCTTCTCTAGGGGAGTGTTTATCGAGTGAAGTAGTGAAAGCATGACACAGGGGCTTGTGGTCAGTAAAAATAGTGAAATGCCGGCCCTGTAGTAAGTAACTGAAATGCTTCACTGCAAGATATATGGCCAGCAATTCTCTCCCAAAAGTGCTGTATCGTGTCTGAGCCGGTTCCAACTTCTTAGAAAAGAATGCGAGTGGGGTGACTTCGCCCTTCATCTTTTGTTGTAATACTGCCCCTACAGCTACTTGGGAGGCATCTGTGCACAAAATAAGCGACGCTTCGGGGTTGATATGGGATAGCATAGTGACTCTGGATAAGGCATCTTTTGCGTTGCAAAATGATTCGTGTGCTTCAGCTGACCACTGAAACTTTTTAGGATCATTTTTAAGGAGGTCGGTTAACGGCTGGACGATGGAGGCACACGAAGGAATGAAACGCCGATAGAAATTAAACATCCCCAAAAAACGTCTGACCTTCTTGAGTGAATCTGGTTCGGGGAAGTTTTTGATGGACTCTATCTTTTCCTCCGTAGGCGTAATACCATTCGCGGTTATGTGGTGTCCCAGAAACTGTATAGAGGAGACACCGAATATGCACTTTTTGGGGTTAATGACGACTCCATATTGCTCAAATCGTTGAAATAAGATGGTGAGGTGATCAGTATGTTCTTCGGGCGACGAGCTAGCAATTAAAACGTCATCGATATATACAAATACAAAGTCCAAACCTTGTGTGACCTGATCCATGAAACGTTGGAAGGATTGTGCTGCGTTCTTTAGGCCAAATGGCATGCGGAGAAATTCAAACAAACCGAAAGGTGTGATGATGGCCGTTTTTTCGATATCCTCTTGGGCAACTGGTATTTGGTGATAGGCCCTGACCAAGTCTACTTTAGAAAAAATGGTTTTTCCGTGTAATGTCAGGGAGAAATCATGAAGATGAGGAATAGGATAACGGTCGGGAACTGTGGCATTGTTTAAATGTCGGTAATCCCCACATGGCCTCCAATCATGATCAGCTTTAGGCACCATGTGTAAGGGCGAAGACCAAGGACTATTGGAGGGTCTGATGATGCCGAGCTGCATCATGTGTTCAAATTCTGCCTTGGCTGCTGCCAATTTGTCCGGGGGTAATCTACGGGACGAGCACGAACTGGTTGACCCGTAGTAACTATCTTGTGAGTAACTGTGTGAGGGACGTCCTCGATGTTGTACGACGGCTTAAGAATTTTAGGGAAACGGTGAAGTAGGGAGGAAAAAGGGCAATCTGCTGGTCTTTCAATACTGATATTATAGACAGAATAGCTGGAGATAATTCCATGGATCTTTAGATGGGTGTTGTTATCAATCAGTTTTTTATTGTTGACGTCAACTAACAGGTTGAAATTACTCAAGAAATCTGCTCCGAGGATGGCGTGACTGACGTCGGCTACTATGAAAATCCATGTGAAACGCCGACGTAAACCTAGATCCAGTATGAGGGATTGCTCTCCATACGTCTGTATGCTTGTGTGGTTAGCTGCCCGGAGAGACAGTTTTCCGGGTGTCCGTGTAGATCGCCTGGATAGTGAAGGAGGGATTACGCTAACTTCTGCTCCCGTGTCTACCAGGAATAAAGTGTCTGAAGTTTTATCCTTCACATAGAAGAGGCGACTTGTTTGCTTGCCAGTAACAGCTGTCGCCATCACTGTCTGGCTGAGGCGTTTCCCTGAGCCTGGTTGGCTTCGCTAAAGCTGCACGGTTTTACACATTTCAGGGCATGACGTCCAAACTTCCAGTGATACCAGCATATATTGCTATCCCGAGAAGACGTGTAAGAACGCTGTCGTGAGAAGGATCGTCGTCGTGATGGTGACCTTCTTTGTGAACTCCGCCTCCGGACTTGTCGATCAGACTATTAGTTTCCAACTTGTCAATCCTTGCCGCTAAGTCTGCAATGGCGGCGAGTATCGGTGTGTCTGCCGTGGGTGTGGAATGACACGGTGTGGCACTATCAGATGCTACGTGACTTATGGTGTTATCGGATAAAACATCCATAATACTATCTGCCATGTCACTTAGTTGGTCTAAGTCATACGACTTTCCTGAGATGATTAAAATTTGCTGGACATTTCTAGGTAAACGTTGCAACCACATCTGTTTCAGCACTACCTCGTCTACTTTATGATGTCTGTCAATCACGTCTCATAAACCGTTAATGCCCAGCTCTCGCTACGCTCGGGCCCACGCTGTTCCTTGAAGATTTCAGA